TGGTGTTCCATGAAGCTTGTGTTCTCTCTGGCATGGAATCAAACACTTCTCTAGCCTTGTCAAGATCCCCGGTTTGGTTATATGCTGTCACCATTGCTCCCCACGAGACAACACTGCGTTCCTCCATTTCATCAAATATTCTCTCTGCCAGTCTCAAGTTTCCAGCTCGAACGTAAGCGACCAACAAGACAGTCCATGTCACGGAGTTTCTCTCGGGCATCGTATCGAACATTCTCTCGGCATCTTGGAGCTTCCCTTTCTGAGCATATGCGCTCAGCATCGATGTCCACGACACAATGTCTCTCACTTCCATTTCCTCAAAGATTTCCTTTGCGCCATCGAGAATCTGGTTTTGAGAATATCCACAGAGCATTGCCGTGGATGAGACGAGATCTCTCTCGGGCATGCCATTATAGACCTCTCTAGCGCCATGCATATGCCCGTTCCAGGTATATGCTAGGATCAAAGCCGTCCACGAGGAGAGATTCCTCTCTGGCATCTGGTCAAACACGCGTCCCGCATCCTCGACCCGACCGTTGCTTCCAAATGCCGCCACCACTGTGTTCCACGAAACAATGTCCCTCACGGGCATCTCCAAGAATGTCACTTTTGCTTTCTCCAGATGCCCTTTGTGGGAATATGCAGAGAGCATGAAGTTCCAGGAGAAAATGTCCTTGCGGGGTATGCTATCGAATATTCGCCGGGCCGAGCTGATGCTCCCGCACTTGTCGTAGAGCTGCAGAAGCATGTTTGCGACGAATGAATCCGACGCAAGGCGGTGCTCCACTCGCGAGTGAACTTCCTTGGCCATGGATAGTGTCGTGCACGATCTGATAAGCTCCAAGCACGCATTTCGATCGAGCGGCTTCTCTCCATGCATTTCTTTTGCTCTTGGCTTGTCATTGGAAAGGAATCCAATGCTAAGTGGCAACCACAGAAGAAACAAAGTATCTTGGAGAAAATTAAACCTTAAAATTTCTCCCAAGGAAGAGTTCGATCGATTTTACCAAACTTTCCCTCGCACTGAAAATTGAAAGGACAGCAGTGATGAAAGCAAGAAGGTACCGGAACATTTATTACCGGTAAACAACTCGCGGGTGTCGAAACAATGTCGAGAGCTCTCGTTTGACGATCCGGTGGGATGATGGAGAGGCTCGTGATCCATGCTCCACCCTCGGAGCACCAGCCATCGCACTGGATCTTCAGCTTCTTTGTTGGCTTTGAGCAGCTTCTTCTTTGACTTCTGCTTGTGAGTCTCGCGGGAAGAGTACTCCACCTGTTTAAAGCAAAATTTGGATGAACATTTAGCGCTGCAAAGTAGACTTGTTACCTTCACTCTGGAATGTCTATGCCTTTATCCTTGAGAGTGCTGAGAAATCCTCCCAGGTTGGGCGGTAGTGGCCACTGTGAGCTTCAAGCAACTGTTGCTGCCAAACACATGAGCTTGTACTGAGCTATGAAACGCAACTGTTTGGAATGCCGTTTCCATTTCCATTACATTCATTGTCGTTGACATGAGAGAGGGGGTCTCCTCTAGCTTTGCTTCGTGGCTCAATGCCTCCACAAAAGTAGTCGCGAGGCTCGCTGTTTCATCGCTCACAGAATCCATTCGGACGCATTTTTGGCCTTGAGCAACTTCTTCTTTGACTTTTAGCAAATAAAAGATGTTCTATCAAGTTTATACTTCAAACTTTTATATCTTCTGGAGAGGTGTCAGATTAGTACATATATATACTAATGTGCAGATAACTATTGCATATGAACCATCTGAGTGGATTGGATTTGGTTCGTTTGGATAATGACAGTGATATGCTTGAAAATTAGATAGAAGGTTACTATAGTAGATAGAATATTTTATTTTATTTTAAAAAAAATATATACATGATTAAACATCAAATATAATAAATTATTTTCTATATATAAACATATACATATACATACATACATATATATGTATATGTATATATGTATATGTATATATATATATATATATATATATATATATATATATATATATATATATATAGAAAATAATTTATATATATTGTCACACCCTTGTACCATTTAATCCTACAATAGTTTAAATGAAATACAGCTATGCCCAGCTCAAATTAAAATATAAAAAATTTAATATTTTGAAGCTTTATATATGCCCAGGCTCCTTCACAGGGAGATCACACCACCGGCAAAGATGCTCCAATTGGTGGGATTAGGGGGGTGCTGAGCATAATCTCGCCACGGGGTAGTGTCTTTGGGAATGGCCCACCCTGCCATGGAACAGCCCAAAAGAAGGTGGTCAGTCTATTATCCTCCCTGTGCTTGAATTAGATTTATTATCGTATTTGCCTTATAAGTCTATTTTTTACTCTTACTTTAATTAAAGTAAGAATTATATATACATTCAAAGGTATCTATATTATACTATATATAATTTTATTTTAAACTAAACTTTAATGAGCTTTAATAAAAAAATTAATATCTTAAAATGTTTTGTAGCTACTATGGGAGTAGTAAATATTGCTTTAATTTCAATAATATGTTTAGAATTCTTTGCACAATATGTG